ACATTCTGTACACTTTGGTCTCTTAGGAGATATTTGTGGGAAAAGTGAAAGTGTATAGAAAGTTGACATATAATCTCTATATGTGTTCTATAGTTTGCTAATGCTGTACGAGAGTCAGAAGGATGAATTTAACAGTAAATTTAAAATGATTACCAGGCACTTCAAGTACAAAACTGCCTGAATAGACAGTGAATGCTGGTTATAACTTGGAGTGGGTTGTGCAGCCTTTGTGGGGAAGAAAGGACTTGAAGACTGAATTGACTTGAGAAGACTAAAGAAAGCAAGGACAGGTCCATGAGAACAGTGGAATAGGCCAAGTATGCCGACCAGAAGGCACAAGGAATGCTTAAGGGACAGTGAGCAGAGGAATCTTCAAATATATTTAAGTAACCCATAGGAAGGAAAGGAAATATAAACACAGAAACAAGAAGCAAAGGAAACAAACAAAAATCGAATAATAAAATGATATTCTTAAGCCTGAACCTATTAATAATAATCTAACATGTAAATGGCCTAAATACACCAATTAAGAGACTGGCAGAGTGAACAGAAAATGATCCAATTACACTGTCTACAAGAGGCTCATTTTAAATGCAACAGCATATATAGATTGAAAGTAAAAGGATAGAAAAAGTTATACCATGTGAACATTAACTTTTTAAAAATGTAGGAGTAGTTATATTAATATAAAATAAACTTGAGAGCAAAGAAAATTACCAGTGATAGAGGAGGTAATTATATAATGATAAAATAATCAATTCACTAAAAAGACATAATAATCCTAAATGTATATGTACAAAACAACATACAACATCAAAATCTTTGAAGCAAAATCTGACAGAGCTTAAAGGAAAATTTAGGTCAATCCACAATTATACTTGGAAACTTCTACACTACACTCAACAACTGATGGACCTACTAGACAGAAAATTGGCAAACATGAAGAACAGAATATAATCAACCAATAATTTAATTGACATATATAGAACATTCTACTCAACATCAGTAGCATGCACATTTTTGAAGTACCCATGGAAAATTTCAAGTGCCCAAGTTACACTAAATCTCAAGCCATTAATTAAGACTCAACAAATTTAAAATAATTGAAGTCATATATACTATATTTCCTTTTTTCTTGAAGTATAGCTGATATACAATATCATATTGGTTTCGAGTATAAAGCATAGTAATGACAGTTATCTACATTATTAGATGATCACTCCAACTAGTGTAGTTGCTATCTGTCAACATAGAAAGATGTTGCAGAATCATTGACTATATTCTCTGGACTATACTTTCATCTTCATGACTAATTTATATCATGATTGAGATTTTGTGCCTCTATATCCCCTTTGCCTATTTTACTTTTCCTCCCCTCCCCCTCCCCCATGGTAACCACTAGTCATTTCTCAGTGTCTCTGAGTCTACTGCTGTTTTGTTCATTTTGTTTTGCATTATTTTGTTTTTTTTTAGATTCCACGTATAAGTGAAATCATATGGTATTTGTATTTCTGGGCCTGGATTATTTCACTTAGCATAATACCCTTCTAGGTCCAGACATGTTGTCACAAATGGCAAGATTTTTTCTTTTTTATGGCTGAATAATATTCCATTTCACTATGTACCACATCTTCTTTATCCATTCATTTATTGACAGATACTTTGGTTCCTTCCATATCTTGGATATTGTAAATAACATGGCAGTAAGTGTTGGGGTGCATATATCTTCTCAAGTCAGACATTTTGTTTTTGTTGAGTAAATTCCTAGAAGCAGAATTACTGAGTTGTATGGTATTTCTGTTTTTAGTTTTTTGAGGAACCTCCATACTGCTTTCCAGAGTGTCTGCACCAATTTACATTCCCACCAAAAGAGTAGGAGGGTTTTTTTTCCTCCATATCCTTGCCAACCCTCATTATATCTTGTCTTTTGGATAGTGGCTATTCTAACTGGTGTGAGGTGGTATCTCATTGTGGTTTTGATTTGGATTTCCCTGATGATTAACAATGTGGAGCATCTTTTCATGTGCCTGTTGGCCATCTGTATGTCTTCTTTGGAAAAATGTCTGATGTGGACCTCTGCCCATTTTTTAATCAGGTTATTTGTTTTTTTGTGTGTTTGTTGAGTCATATGAGTTCTTTATATATTTTTGATGTTAGTCTCTTATAGGATATATCATTTGAGAGTATATTCTATATCGTAGGTTATCTTTTATATTGTTGATGGTTTCCTTTGATGTACAGAAGCTTTTTAGTTTGATGTAGTCCCACTTGTTTATTTTTGCTTTTGTTTCCCTTGTCCAGGGAGACATATCCAGAAAAAAATTACTCATGATTATGTTCAAGAGATTTTTCCTATGTTTTCTTCTAAGAATTTTATGGTTTCTTGTCTTATACTTAGGTCTTTAATTCATTTCAATTTTACTTTTGTGCATTGTGTTAGATAGCAATCTAGTTTCATTCACTTGCATGTAGCTGTCCAGTTTTCCTAACAACATTTATTGAAGAGACCTTCTTTCCCCATTCTGTATGCTTGCCACCTTTGTCATATATTAATTGCTCATATATTCATGGGTTTATTTCTGGGTTCTCTAGTCTAGTCTGTTCCATTGATCTATGTGTCTGTTCTTGTGTCAGTACTGTACTGTTTTAATCACTGTAGCTTTGTAATATAGCTTGAAGTCAAGTAGTGTGATACCCCCAGTTTTTCTCTTTCTCAAGATTGCTTTGGCTATTCATGGTCTGTTGTGGTTCCGTATAAATTTTAAGATGATTTATTCTAGTTCATTGAAAAACACATTGATATTTTGATAGGGATTGCATTGAATCTGTGAATTGTTTTGGGCAAGATGGCCATTTTGACAATATTAATTCTTCCTATTCATGAGCATGGGATAGATTTCCATTTATTTGCATCTTCTTCAATTTCTGTCATCAGGATCCTACAGTTTTCAGAGTACAGTTTTCAGTTTTCACTCCTTGGTTAGGTTTAGTCTTCCTAGTTATTTTATTCTTTTTGATGCATTGGTAAATGGAATTGTTTTCTTGATTTCTCCACTAGTTAATTATCAGTATCTAGGAATGCAACAGATTTCTGTATATTGATTTTGTATCCTATGACTTTTCTGAGTCCATTTGTTAGCTCTAATAGTTTTTTGGTAGAGTCTTTAGGGTTTTCCATATATAATATCATGTCATCTGCAAATAATAACAGTTTTACCTCTACTTTACCAATTTGTATGCCTTTTATTTCTTTTTCTTGTCTGATTGTTATGGCTAGGATTTCCAGTACTATGTTGAATAAAGGTAATAAGAGTGGGCATCTTTGTCTTGTTCCTGATCTTAAAGGAAAAGCTTGTAGCTCTTTACCACTGGGTATGATGTTAGCTGTGGTTTTGTCATATATGACTTTTATTATGTTGATATATGTTCCCTCTATACATATACAGTATGTTTTATGATGATAAGAGAATCAAACAAAAGACCAGTAGTAGAAAGACAACAGGAAAATATCAAAACATTTGTAAATTAAACACATTTAGAAATAATCCATGGGTCAGAGAGGAAGTTTCAAAGGAAATGGAAAAACAAAACATAATGAAAATATAACATATCAAACATGGGGAATGCAGCTAAAGTAGTTACAAGAGAGAATTTTATAGCACTAAATTATTACATTAGAAAAGAGGATAGGTCTCAGGTCAATAATCTAACCTCCTACCTCAAGATACTATAAAAATAAGAGTAAAATAAATCCTAATCAAGGAGAAGGAAGGAACTAATAAAGGTAAGAGCAGAAATACATGAAATTAAAAACAGGAAAAGAAGAGAAAATCAATGAATCAAAAAGTCAGTTCTTAAAAAAATCAATTAAATAGATAAACATCTAACGTGATTGACAAACATTAAAGAAGACACAAAACACCAGTATCAGGAATGAAATGGGATATCACTGCAGATCCTACAACCATTAAAAAGCTAATGAGGGAATACTGTGAACAACTTTACGCTAACAAAATCAATATCTTAGATGAAATGAACTAATTCCTCAAAAAATACAAACTGCCTGAACTTACCAAGATGAAATAGACAACATAAATTGATCTATAACCATTAAAGAAACTGAATTTGTAAGTGAAAGCTTTCAAAAACAGCAATTTCCATGCCTAGGTGGTTTCACTGGAGAATTCTACCAAATATTTAAAGAAGTAACTCTAATTTTAGACCCGCTCTTCCAAAGAATAAATGATTATGGTTGGTGTAAGCCACTAAACTTTGGGGTGGGTTGTTATATAACAATAGATAACTGAAACACTGGGTTGCCTACATTCTTTTCTCATGGCCCTATTCTATTCTGTAAGCTATGCTAGTCAAAATGGAAGAGCTATTATATTAATTGTAGAAAATTCAGCTGGTCTATCTGCAGTTATTCAGTCCCTATAATTGGCATACATTTGACCAATGCCTTACTTACATTGCTCTGTTATTTCTGTTTCTAAATGATTTATCCCTTAGTTCATGCAATGTAGAAACTCTTCCTAGGATACACTGAAGTAAAGTAAATCTCAGAGCATGCTCCGGATACCTCTCATCCCAAAGTCCTTTATCTGTCTGCCTTAGGCCTCTGTTCTCCTCAGAGTGGCCATGGAGCCTGTTGTGCCTTATAGTACAGTGATATCACAGGTTATATATAACAGGTTACAACTGTTACTTATTGTTAACATTTATTGAGCTCTTATTATGTACTAGGAATATTTATGTATTCTTTCATTTAACTTTGACAATAATTCTATAAGGGAAGTACTACTATTGTCCACATTTTCAGGTGAGGAAACTGAGGCTTAGGGGGTACAGTAAGATGAATACTGTACCCAAAAAATTCATGTCTACCCAGAATTTCAGAATGTGATTTAATTTGGAAATAGGGTCTTTGCAGATGTAACTAAAATGAGGTTTTACAAGAGTAGGGTGGATCCCTAATCCTATGATGGGTGTCATTATAGGAAGAAGAGAGGACACATAGAGACACAGAGAGAAGAATCCTTGTGAAGATGGAGGCAGAGATTGGGATGTGTTGCTACAAACCAAGAATTGCCAACAACCACCGGAAGCCAGGAGTGAGGCATGGACCAATTTCTTCCTCAGATCCTGCAGAAGGAACCAACCCTGCTGACACCTTGGTTAGGACTTCTGCCCTCCTGGCCTATGACAGAATACATTTCTGTCCCAGTTTTTGGTAATTTGTTACAGTAACCCTAGAAAACTAATACAGACATGTTAAGTAGTTTGTCCAAAATCATACTGTTAGTAAAGATCACATTTTTGTTGAAGCCATGGCTTAAAACAAGGACTGTCTGATTCCAGAGCCACAATGTTTAACAGATACACTCTCTTCTTTCTTTATAGTTCAAGATCAAGACATTCCCCCATGACCCAGAAATTTCCCCCTTTATTGTATCTTAAGGAAGCATTGAACATCCTTCTTAGCTCTAGGAGCCTGGGGTTTGGTGCTGGAACATTTCATGCCCACTCTATGTGAGTTACACCAATTCCTCTGGTTTAGAGCATAGGTAAAGGTGGAAAGGGAGATGTGGATACAGATACAGATAGATATAAATAAAATTCAGTGTGAAGGAGGGCTTTCTGTCCTGTTTACCTTGTTTCCTAGGTACATGGTGTAGTATTCTTTTGCATCTAACAAAAGTTCAACAGTGTCTGTTAATAAGCTAGAAAATAGTGCCTATCTTTTCTTGAGGGCCTTGTAATCGTATTTAAAAGATTAAGTAAATCTCTAATCCCGTCTGTGCACCTAGTTAAATAAAATGAGGACAGTTTGGAAATTAATTTTTTTTAATGTAGCAATTAGCAGCATGGACTTTGGAATCACTGGTCTGGGTTCAAATCCCATTCCCACCACTTATTAGCTATGTGTTATTGGGCAAGTTGATTTATCCCTCCAAGCCTCCTTGTCTGTATTTTCAGGATCATGGTAATAATAACTATTGCATAGGATTTTGTTAGTATTAAATGAGTTAATGAATACAAATACTTAGCACAGTAGCTGGCGCATACAAAGTGTTCAAGATACGGTGGTTCTGAGAGTTTTAGATGTACATTTCACAAATACATATAGCATGTGCAATGCTAGGATTTTTATATCACATGACTATATAGAGAATCATATATTTTAATTGCTATCAAAGTTGAATTCAGTTATTTTCAATGTACTTTTTGGATTTCTTCATAAAGTTCTCTATTAATGAATCCCTATAGGTCTCATTAAATGTAACTAATTCAGACAGGAAGTTCCAGAATGGCAATTGCTGCCAAGGTCTGGGTGCACTCATTGGGCAGAGGAGGTAAGCAAAAACTCACAGAAAGCTGGTGCGTTCATTAACCACCTGGACACCCATGGTATTGCTACAGTGCCTACACATAATAGATAGTGTTTAAAGGTGTACATGGCCTGAACTGAATTCTTATTAATACCAGTCTCAGAAAATTCTTGGTTGGGGATTGCAAGCAATTCCATTATCTAAAATATTTCTCAGTAAGGAAGAGTTGGGTAATATCACTTAATTGGAAGATACTAGTGATCTGGCTGTGACTGTGTTTGCAGAAGGCATGGCATCTCATCCATTTCTGGGCCTTCAAGATTAAGCAAATGGCTGAAATTCTGATGCTCTGAATGCAAACTCTCTGGTCAGCCAGTTACTTTGATGCAGGTCCAGGTAATTCTCCAGAGTTCTGTTTCCCTTCCTGCAAAATAAAATTCTCCTTCCTCACTTCTCATTTCTCTTGCTGAGTGGAGAAAGTGATATCTTTATGACCCTTAGAGGCAATGCATGATTTAGAATAGCTAAGTAAAGAGAGCCATAAACAATGGTTGGGATGCAGAGCATTTGCCACCTTCTAATTTATTTCCTCTCCACCTGACTTCAGATGGGAAAGAAAAAGTTGCTGTTTATTTGCAAAAACAATATTTTTATGGCTCAACTTTATCAAGCTAGGTTTTTAGTCTAACATAAATTTCTCAGAGATGAACCTCAATACCGTTTAAATTTTCTAAGAGGGAAATATAAACTAAATGAGAATTGGACAAGGTAAATATTCCAATAAAGTCACCTATATAGTGCCCTCTGTTGAGCTTTGGGTCCAGCTGGGCTGAACTTACCTAGAGGAAAGAGGATAGACCCTCTCCCCTGTCCCTCAGACTCTAGTAAGTGGAGCTGTATTGATCTTCCACCTTCTTTATCTTATGGGATGCTTGCTATTTTAGACTTCTTCTCACCACTATTCTGCATGTCTAGGCTGCTATCTTGGTTTGGTTCATCCTCCACCATTCCCAAAAGCAGACCAGACCCTGAGATGGGGATTTTGGGGCAGCTTCTTTGGGTGGTGACTGCCAGCAGCACAGTGAAGGAGAGAGGAAATGAGACAGGGAAGGCAGGATACCAATAAAGGGGACATAGATGAGCCATTCACCTCTGTGGGCAAGTGTGGTGGGCATATTCCCACTGAGGAATTTCTAAGAAACTGTAGAAAGTGCCTCAGAATTGAGAGGCAGGAAATGAGGGTATTTACCTGCCAACTCCCATCTATCTTTGGTTGAATTAACTTCCTGGACACTTCCAGTCTGTCCTGCAGGGGAGCAGAGCATTCTCTTATGAGCCAGAGAAAGCCCTTGGGCAGTCAAGGTGTTTGCCATAGAGTCTTGTAGATGTGCAGTGACAATAAAGAAACTGTCCACTGAAGCTTCCTGGGTGGGTCAAGGGAATATGGATGGGGAACCAACAACAGTGGTAACACTTACTATCCTGCTTCCTTTTCCTCTGCTCATCCACCTCCCACCCTAATAACAAGCCTACTCATCTTGCCTTGCAAATCATTCCAATCAGCTCAGCTCCATCCAGCAGCATTTCCTATCATTTCACACTGCCCCACCTCACAGATTTAAATTGCTTGGTCTCTATGGTCATTTTTTTGTGATCCCTGGAATAGCAAAAGTGTGGATAAGGTTGATAACTGATAAGGTTTGGAGCAGTCAGAAGTTTCATTGTGACTGTGGGTAAGAATGGCAGATGTGGGAACTAGAAGAGGAGATTGGAGCTGGATTGTGAGGCTTTGGAAACCTTGCTAAGGAGGATGTGGCTCATCATCTTATGATAAGTCAGCTGGGTATGTTTCATCAGAAACATTTGGACAGAAAGACAAAGAAACTGTCCACAGGGAACCTTTCAGTTTAGAAGTTTCTCATTCACAGGACTCATCGGCTGCCTGGCAAATAACACCGACAGTGTTTAGATACTATGCATTCAATGGACATTTTATTTTCTGCCTTTCCTTATTTGTTTTCATTGCTGAAATAACAAGCTTTGAAAATATCATTGCTGTCAGAGACATATGCCTTGACCTTCACCACTGGTTCCTGGCAACCCACAGGGAAAGCAGACAGCACAGTGAACAAGGGCTCAATGCAAAGCAGGATTTTAATTTATCATTTCTGGAACACAAACAGAAATGGACACCATCAGAGGTAAGAATAGGTGTGACTGCTGCTTAATGAGTCTAACCACATATATCTTCTTAGTGGTCAAGCAAAAAAGTCACGACCCAGAACATTTAAGATAATAAGCTTTGAGGAAAAGTAAAGTTATGAAACATACTTTTCCCACTAATTCTCCAACACTACTTTTTCTTTCATCTGGTTGAGTAGGGGAGTGGTTTTTATGATGTTACTTGATTCATTCTTTAAATAAATGTTTATTGGGCACCTACTATGCACAGAAGATTATCCCAAACCATTGTGTAAATGACAGTAGCACAAGGACAAATATAAAAAGTGACAAATGGCATTCAAGTAAGGGAATGAGCACAGATTCTTCATCCTCCCTGCCTTCATCTTGTGCTAATGATTCTTTTTCTTCACTAATCTGAAAGGGTATACTGGTAGCCTCCCAACTTGCAACATTCCTTCTAATCCCCTTGCGATTTCTGTGGCAAAGAAGCTCTTAGTATTTGTGCTGAGTGGAAAGTGATGGGTGCCTCCTCACCAGTAATATTCCCTAAGGCCTGAGGGTAACTGAATGGGAAAACATCACTTTTGTCCAGGAAGCATTTGAATTGATTTTGGTGTGCCCACACCTGCTTCAGTAATATACCATTTTCTAGAGTGCTGGCTTTCAGGAAACAACTATGGTGAATGGTATGACATGCTGGCCCCCTTTAGGAAAGAAGCACTTACTTGCCTCAGCTGCAGATAGCCTTTGGCTGTTAATCTCTTTAGAGATTACCTCCACTGAAAAACACTTCCTTGCCCAAGATCTGGCCTCCTTCCAGAGTAGTCTGCATCCAGTTCTGGGACTGACTGAAAGCTTGAACATTCTTACCCTAACTTTGGATGACATTGAAGGCCACCCCAGTTCCATAGCTACCTATGGGGTTGGCTGAACCTTTGGAGGACCTGTAACACAGCCCAGTTTCTCTCTCTCTCCTCTATAGCTTCCTCCACCTCCCTTCTTGGGCTGAATCCATAAAATACCCACCACCACCACTCTCAACACAGGTGGGGCTTGGAGGCCACCTGCCAGAAATGCCAGAGAAAGAATACACACTGTAAGGTAGAGTGGATTATAATGACCAGTGCTTCTCAAACCAGTGGAATCAATTGGAGATCTTTTTAAAATTCAGATACTGATTCAGCAGCTCCGGGGCCCAGATTGTGCATGTCTAACAAGCTCCCAGGTGATGCTCCAGCTGCTGGTGGTCCTGGAGCCCCACTTTGAGAATCAAAGAGATAGATTATCTCCGAAGTCCCTTTCAGCTCTGACATTCCATCTTATACCCTATCAAACTGATAAGAATCACACCTACACCTCAACTGACACTGCTAAGGTAGGTCGCAAACAAGAGTTCTCTCTGAAGGTCCTGGCAGTGCAAGTTGCAATATAACAGAAAGGAAAATGGCTTTTCTGTTAACACAGGATAACATTTCTAGCTTTAAGAAGCATAGTGACTAAATATGGAATATAAAATATGATCAAAATCCTGTAGAATTATCTCTATCCCATGTCAGTTGATTAATTTCTGGGGCATGTTTTTATTTGACTGATATTTAAGTGTTATTTGTGAATGAATGGTACATAACACCATTTTTAGGAGTTGGCAAACTGGGCCAGGAGCAAAAAAAAGAGAGGAGCACCATGATCATTTTTATCTCAACCATTGATTTGCAACTTTAGAAGTTCAAGGGAATAGAATTGATAGATACCCAGGGTATACTAATTATTATCACCACAGTTATTATTACTTTTATTCTTATTTTAAAACAGAGTAATCCATGAAAATACTTTAGAAAGTCAATTGGTGCAGAAAAGTCTGCAATAAAAAGCAACCACCCCTGGTATCACCCCTTCCCAGTTGCATCTACTTTTAAATGATTTCATCCCCGTTTTTTTGTATTTGCCTCCACATGCCTAAATACAATATATGTTCTATTATTTCTTGGTTTAACAATTATATCTATTATATATTGACTCTCTGCTTTAGGAATGAGAATGTCACTCACTTAGGTGTTTTTTTCTCTCTTCAAACAGTCAATAAATAAATATATTTATTTTGGTTCCACTATTAGTTACTTCTATAGCTTTAAGTAATATACTTTAATTTTTATTTTATCAATGAAAATACAAAGCATAGTATCCTTCATTCTTCATTTTTTAAGATGAAGATCTTACTGATGTTATCTTCCTCTTCTTTTGCATGTCTACCTCCTAACTTTTACCATAATACACTTATTTATACTTACTCTTGCATTTGAAGGTTGTGATAACAACTATCAATACAAAATGCAAATAAATAAGTCATTCTTTTTTCTACAGGTTGACTCTGCAAGTGCAAAATCAAAACCATTCACATTATTGTGGCTATGTAAATATTGTTTATTGCTGGCAAAGTAGTATATTATTTGTGGGTAAAATTGCAGTATTTTCAGAATCTCTCACCTGGCCTTAGTGCATGTCCACATCAATGGGTGTTTCCAAGGAGTGGAGAGAAATAGTCTATCTCCATATCAGTAGGTAATTAAAAGGGGGAGTGAGACCATATCTGGACCAG